CTACTTTTTCCACTTATTTTCGCAACATACCCTAATGTATACATTGAGCACAAGTATACTATGTACATATGCACCTCTGAAAGTAAGTAAGTATTCGACATTTGTGCAAAGGAGTTGCGCGTGGCACGTGCTTGGCCCGCTTGACGCTTGGAACGTAGAACGTTTATTGATTTTTACTTTTTATTTGAAATTTGTTGTTGTTACACCTTTAGGTATGTATATATGTATGAATGAATGAATGAAAATGCTTGCGCTCATGAATGCTTATGTTGCCTTATGTTGCGTGTGTATATTTATTTCTATAAACGATTGGTGTTAGCAACTTAGGTAAATACATTGGTTTTTGCACTTTTTTTTCGGTGCAGATATTCATAAGTGGCAAAAAATTGCACAAGGGTTTGGCAGTAATAATTCTTTAAGAGTATGAATGCGATTTTGACATGGCATCGGTGGTGTTGAGGGTATTGTGATTTACCACTTGCATGCTGAGATTAACTAAATACATATTATTTTAGAGAAGTTATTACTAACGTCAAATATACATAGGTATAAGTAAGTATGTATATACATATGTACATAATTATTTTCAGTTTCAAATTTACTCATTTTAACACGAGTTGCTCGATTATTTAGCTGCATTGAATTTGTTTTAAGACATACATACATATGTAAGTATGTATCTACATACTTAAGTTTCTTTATTGCGCATTTCTTTCAAATAGAAAATTGCTTATAAATAACTAACTACAAAGAAATCCAATAATTAAAATTCCCAAATGTTTTGACCAGTGAAACATATTTATAGATAATTGACATAAGCCTAATTTATAATTTCAATCCTTAGATAATTACCATGTACAATGTTTTGAATTCAACAAAAAAACAAAAAAAAAAACGAAAAGCACACAGCAGCGAAACTAATTTGCTGAAGTAGAAATACGGAAAAAATTAAAATTGGTATTACGGTTAAAATTTGTAATTGCAAGTTTGTATTAAAATTTTATAACGGTTATGCTTATGTACACATATATAAAAATTACGATATGTATGGATGTGTTTTTAATGCAAACAGAGCATGACTAACAAATTTTTAATGCAATAATACATTACAAAAGCAAAATATTTGTACATACATAAGTTGCCACTGCGGAAAATATATTTACTATGTAAATATTAACTGCATACTCGATTAGTGCATAGATATAAATATGCATAGTACATAGTAAACCACATACATATGTAAGTTTAAGCTGAAAGTATGATTGCAATTATGTATTTATTAACTCCAAAACTAGTAAAAAGCTTGTCTTCACATTTGGATCGAACATAAATTTAGCGCACAGAAAATTTAAGGCCACAATTTAAATGAAATTATTTTTAAAAAGTAAATGTCAGAGATTGTTCTTTCGGCCAATATAGGATTGACACATTTAGTTAAACTTTTGGCAAATAAAATTAAACTCTGGGCAAATAGATTTAAGCTTTCAGCGGATAGATTTAAACATTGGGAAAATAAATTTAAACTTTTGGCAAATAAAATTAATCTTTTGGCAAAGGGGGCCGTGTAGAGCCGCGCGCATAGGACAGCTGATCAGAATATTAAAAAAAAAATTTATAGGTGGATTTACTCGAGCACGTCAGATTAAGAAATGGTGGGTTAATTACATGCTGAAAAGTGTGTATTTAAATAATCTGACGATATGATTTGGGAGGGTCGCAAACTTGCAAAAAAAACGTTACCTTGACATTCTCGAGCGCGCTCAATTTTTTTTATTATGAAGCAAACAGCTGAAGGATAACGGCAGGTATATAATCTGACGATTTCCACAAGCTGGATTGACGAAAACTGTCAACAAAGATTGTCGCGTGCACTTGCTGTTTTGCAAAACTACTACAGATTTTTCTACGAAATTTGTTATTTTTTGATTCGTTTGCTGTTTTCCGTTCATATTATTTGTCACAATCATATGACTGTAAGAATACGCAGCGGACCAAATGCTCGCAAAATGATACCACTTGCGAGTGAAATGTGAGAATTAACCCAAACAATCGCTCGCTAATACCATGTTCTGACCGACAACGAAAAAACTTTGAAAACGAGTTTTGGGATTGTGGGCTGAAGGCTGTTCACACCGGCTGTTAGTGTTTTCGTTGACATTTATTTTATAAAATTAAAAAAATGTTTTTCTTTTTTAGACAATATAAGAGATTTTTTGTAAGTGTTCAGTAGGTTTCTGAATAGTTTAGATTCACAGTTTGACCCACTAGGTGGCGCTGGAGTCGAGTTATTACAAAAAATCGTATTTATGATCCAATTTGGCTCATATTTGAGATATGTAGCGGTAACGGTAAGGGCAATACTATTGCAAAAAGAGGCGCCGGGAGGCGCTGGAGTCGAGCTATTACTAAAAATATCGTCAAGTTAGAAAAATGCCGTGAATGGCCGATCACACCAACGTGCTGTACCATCGAGTATGTTGAACTCCCGTGTGTTCCTGGGATGAGTTGTCCAGTGGTCTATCTCAAATGACCACCGTTAAATCAACCATCAGCGCCATTGCACCACTTGATAAGGCATTTATTGTATTTCGTCTGAAATAAGTCTAAGCATATGCTATTTCTGTAGAACAACGATACTAACTCATTTTGCAATTGCCACCAACTATACTAGATATAAAGTTTCAAGGACAGATTCACCATCGAACCGGTTCATTGTTGCCGCCAAGGAGTGAAGAGGAAAAAGTTCACCAATCATAAATCTAAATATTTTTTTAATATTTCTATGACGATAATGTTATCATTCGATATTATCAGCCTAATTTTGATTGAAAACGAAAGTGTTTAGTTAATATTTTACACTATTATTTGTATGAATGTGACTGGTCGCACACTGAAAATCCCGGCTCATATAAGTATAAGGCCTTAATGGCATATAAAGAATTCTCTCACCACCACTCTGCCATCCATCTTACCTAATGCGAGATAATTTTGTCATTGTCAAATTTCAAATGAGAAAAAAAACATATCTACATACTACCTACCTCTATGCTATATGATGAATTGTTATTGACAAGTTAAATAATTATCTACAAACATGCATACCTATAAATGTAGTATAATACAAATTATTTTTAAAAGCTCAACAAGTGACTCATCTTGTTGCCAGATAAATATTACATCATTCCTTACCCCTTCCCAAGGAATAATTTGCCGATTTCTACAAACGTCAGAAAAAAGTGTGACACATTGCTGTTAAGAAAAATTGTCTTTTGGATTCACCTGCCTTTTGGAGGCCAAATAATAAGTAGCTGATAAAGAAAAGCACTTAATAAGTTGTGAACGATAAAATAATGCTTGAACATCATTCGAAATTTAATATGGATATGTATATTTATGTAGTGTGCGTAGTTATCAATTTGCCATATCTAGTTATTCGTAGTTAATAAAAAAAAATGTTTGCTCATTCAACGGTAATCGATACCGAACGAAATGAAGATAAACTTACAAATTTTAGCGTATTATTTCTAGTAAAGAATAAATAAATCCAACTTTCAAGACTGAAACCCAAAACTTCTTAATTTATATTCCAATCGATATTTTTTATTTACAAACTCATATGATAGGTTAATTTTCTTTAATACTGACATGGCTGACTTTTTATTTTATTTTAAGCAGCCTTTATACGGGTCGATTTCCGTATACTGGAAAATCTACAACTCGGAGCATTTAGGTTGAATTGCCATTTCCATGGGTCGATTTTGGTTAAATGACAATAATCGACTACATATTTTCAAATTTTGTGTTATTTTCAAATTTTTCGGGCAAGTACTGAATTAATTTAAATTTTTTAATATCAGGCCCGTCACAAAATACAATACAATAGTTATTTTGAGTACAATAGTTATTTTTTTGAAGGAAAGGAAGTAAGGCTATGTTGAAGTCGAATGTGTGCGAATTGCTTTTAAAGCATTGTCACACGATTGGTACATTTGTATAGATTTGTATATTTTTTTAAATTGGGCTTTTGGTATAAAATAAAAAATTGGGATTTTTTTTTGTAGTCACACGCGATTGGTACAGCAAACTTCTATTAAAAAATTTTAACAAGTTGCTTTGACTAGAACTTCTCCTTTCTAAGCAGCGATATGTAGTTTAAGAGGTAAACTTTATAATAATATATCCTGGCGATCAACATTGAGTGCATGTACGACATTTTATAATATTTATTTATTTATTTTATTACTTACAGTAACATAACTTTTTTTTAATAATAAGCGGATTGCTTTGTAATTTTCAGCATTTAGTTCTTATCTTAACTTAAACAAGTAATTTTTAAGCAAAAAACTCAAACGACTTGGACCTCCCTCCTGCTTGCAAACAACTTCTTCCACAGGGTATGCGCTGTTGTCTACAAAGTCCGGCAAATTTGTTTGGTGTAGATGGAGATAGACTTCCTTGCTCATTATTCCTTTAATATTAACTAACATCAGCATGAATCGCTTGTTTCTTTTTAAGTTTAGTTTTTCTGCATACTAGGCTCTATTTCTTAGATAAGAAAGACCAATTGCCGAAAATTTCAAAGCAATCCGCCTTATTATTAAAAAAGTTATGTTAATGTAGGTAATAGAATGTCGTACATGCACTCGGTTTTGAACGCCAGTGTACATAAACTTAAGGAAACATTTATGTGAAACCATTTCGAAATTTTATTTAAACATAATTCCTTTTAAATATTTTATGAATGGTTGAAGATACCTGAATAGATATAAAAATTGCTCGACTGGAAAATTCAATACTAATCGGCACATAAGAGTATGTGTGTATAAATAGCGAACGGACAAACAGCTTATGCATGTCTGTTTTAAAACCAAAGACACTGCAACTAGTGAAGCTTGAATAAGACAATGAACCTTTACCAAGTTACTCAAATGTAACTAATATGGCACCATAAAGGACTGCAAGTCACATATGAATATCTACATATCAAAGTGGATTTAAAAACTAACACACACTAATCAGTTATGTATAAATTTGTATATTAGGCTCACCTGCAATTCTGCTCTATCCACATCCCATTGGGAGCGCTCCAATTCGAACCGTGACCATTCGTGCTGTATGAAGTGTAGTATACCTGGTATGGTGTATTGTGGTGTTGTTTGTTGATTATTTTGACCACTAGGTCCACCGCCACCACCATTGCCACAGTCATCGCTGCCATTGCTGCCGGTACCAACGCCGCCTGTACCCGCCACACTGTTAGCATTGCCGCCGGTTAGCCCGCCAACACCGGTAACACCGCCCAAACTGTTGGTGCCGACACTACCAACTCCGCCAACACCGCTGACACCACCACCGCCACCACCCACGACGCTACTACCGCTCGCACCACCCGCACCGACGGGTTTATTATTTATACCAGTTGTCGCTCCTGAATTAGTGCCCATCGGAAATAATTTTTACGCTGATGTTTTATTTCGAATGTTTTGCTGCTTTTTAATTATATGTACTATTTACTTGTGAGCTCCTTGTTGGAAATGCGTAGTATTTTATTATTTTAGAATTAGTACCGGCGTTGCAGGAAACAGTTCTATGTTTTTTTCAATTTGTAGCCCTTAGCAACGCTTTAACAGTGTAATTTTAGCTGCCTTAAAGAATTTAATATGTGTTTAGGAGACTCAATTTGATAGAATATACATACAAAGCGATGCTATCCGATGGCGCTTGTAGAATTATAATTAATTGATATTGCTTCTTGTTACAGTTGTTATTTTCTTAATATTTCATATTAATACTTTTTTACGAAGTCATATGGACGAGGCATGCGTCTTTTCGAATGCTATTTATATTGCTATGCACGTCTCGTTAGTCCTGTGTTCAAAATTTTTTGATTTTCCCAAAATATAAATAAAGCATTCAATTTGATCTACACTGTACTATTTCTATTTTTCAAATGAGGTCAATTAAGTTTTCGCACACTGGGCCTTTAGCTGCTGTCTACTCGACGCAACTCGTGCTTAGAGATTCACACGTCTCCTTTTCTGCACTCGTTCGGGTATGCATAACCAAACGAAAGCAGATGATAAAAAAATAATATGTACGCTGCTGCAGGATTTATGGAGCACCTAACGACGTCGTATACGCACCGGCGGCCAACTCCTCAATGTTAATCAAGTTTTTATTTATGCAAATTTAGCTTTGCTTCCAACATAAAAACTGCGCTGGGCTGGCCAACTCAGATAGCCAATTTGGTCTGCTAAAACGGCAGCCAGACGGTGTAAAAAATTTCATTTTTTTAATAAACTAGTCAGTTGAGCAAGTTGAACGTTAAATTTATGGGCCGCCGCCGCCTTGTACTCCCAACCCCTACACACACTAAACAGACACATCCGTGGGCTGGACGAATGTCTGAAGAGAAATGTGCTTTCACTATTTTCTTTTATATACACACTTTTTCTATTCATCAATTTCACATCGCTAATCAATACTAAATATATTATTTCTCACAAAATTCTTTCAATTTAACACAATTTCGAAATTTTTTCCATTCCTTTGGATGTTGGAAAATTCTTTATGCAAAAATCTCCTACACTGAAGTGTGAAAGTAGAAGAAATCCAAATGAACAATGAAGAGCGAAAAATTGCCGCAAGAAAAATTGACGAAGAAAAACGAGAAGTCCCTGCCAGAAGAGACGTGGTGATGCCAGACAGTTTTCAAATTTGAAAAATACACAAGTCAAATTAGAACTATAAAAAAAAAATGTCACCAACACATGGAAACGGGTAAACTTACAACTTTTCGCGAGTCAATTTCAAGAAAGCGACTTGCTACGGAAAAGAGCGCATATCGCTTTTGAAAAAAAATCCAACTTGCTAACGGAGGGTCTCCACAGGCAAAAGTTTTTATCTTATGAATGTTATCCGATATTTTGAAAAAATGTCTACAAACGCTGTAATGCACACAAAACAACCACAAAATCGGCAATGCTCAATACTTAAATCGTAAATATCAGGAGAATAAATTATGTAACTGGAATTATATGTGATGCAACTTTTGTAGTTCTATACAAATTCGAGAAAAATCGCGTCACATGGCAACACTCGATTGGGTTGAACGCATTTGCAGCAAAAATGAATTGCATTGACACTAATCACAAATTCGTGTAAAATAAATAAGGATTATTATAAATAAATGCCAATAATAATAAACTAATCTTCAAATTGGGGGTAAAGTTAATTACAACCAAGAGAAATAACAAACAACTGGTTACGAGGCTAACTGCTGCAATTTTATATCGAGAAAGAATGCCAAAAATTCATTCGCTGTGTGATCGGCCAAATTAATTTTTTAATTTTTCCTGAAATTCGCTTTTCAGAAATAAAAACAGCCTTTCGAAAGACGCTTCATAAGCGAGGTGTGACTGAATGCTCAAGCAGCTGCTTTTTGAAATTTCCCAATTTGGCAGCCATAAGTAGCTGTTAGACGTGGCAAGTGAAAGTCCTTTTTAAATGTCTGTCAAACTCAAGAATTTCCAAAAGTGATTGCAGGAGCAGTTACACTTTCGAAAGCAGTTTTTATTTCCGGAACTACTTTTTGTCTGTTTACACAGTGAATGCAGAGAATTCCACTTTCATCTGTGTTACCAGACATTTTTATGCTCGTAACAATATTACTGACCTAAAAAATTTGTTAAAAATGGCAAAACGCGCACAAAGCAACCACAAAATGTCTAATGCTTATATATTTAATTGTTCATATCAGTAGAATACATTAATTACAAGTATTTTGTTAAATGTGATGCACAATTTTTAAAATCTTATATAAATTCGGCAAAAATCGCGTCACTAGGCAACACACGATGGGTTCGACAGCACTTGCAGCCAAAATGAAAATTGCTAGTGCAGCAAGAGCAAGTTGAAATTATTTATCGAAAGCGATTTTCGCAATTTCAGTTGCAGTTACACCTTACAATTTTTATTTCCGAAAGTGATTTCTGCAAATCTGCAATAAGTACTTTCTGGCTGTTTACACGGGAAAGTACTTTCATTTCGCATTTTGACAGCAAAATGCGTAGAAAAAGCGCTGCCACGTTTAACCGCACATTTTCGAAAGATATTGCATTGCAAGGTCTGGCACGCTTTTATTTAAAATTAATGTTTATTCACAATTTCAGCAAAATGATAAAACATGGCAGCATTGTTGGTGCGCAACGAACGACTCTCTTCCAATTAAAATAAATTGCATACTCTCTCTCTTTCCAACGCCCACTAAGTTTTTGACAATTCAAAAGACCAACTACCTTTTGTTTCGCACACCTTTTTTGCTCTTCTAAATTCTATGAATGACAGAACTGAACGAAGGGTGTTGCCAACTATAGGGGAAACGAATTTATAGACAAAGGAACAGGGCAGCTACGCAACGACAAAAAATACGAGGCTGGCCGAACTTGAATGCCTTTATTTCCCGTAGGCGAAGATGCACAATGTTTTGTTGATTGTTTTAACGGCTAAAAGAAATCAATTTTATATCGTTTGCAAATTTCGTTTTCCCTCGGCCATTCATTGATACTTCTATTCGTCTGTGCAGGTCAACAATAGGAGGCAATGAACTTTTTCAAACCCCTTAATTTTAATACAAAAGAGTACATTTGTCTTGCCACAAATAGGAAACAAACTGAAAGAATTTACACCGACAGTTGTTATATACCTATGCACATATGGATATGTACGTATTATTTATGTTTCGTACACTTAAAATTCTCTATAGAAGCACATGAAGTCCACAAATTACACAATGGTCGTAGGTAATGAACGCATCAAAGGATTTTCTTTAGTCTCACCAATATGTACGTTTGTATATTGGTCGGGTTTAAACTCGCAAATTTGTTCACTTATGCTGGTTTAATTAAAAAATAAACTTGGAATTTTGATCAATCACACGGATTTGTGGAATACACTAAAAATTAATTTATTAAAATCTTGTCTTTTCTTGGTACCGAAGAGGAATATTTCCGATTCCGTTCTTTCCCATTAGTCTTTCTCTTTTACCGAAATATACTCGCTCGTTTTTTGTACGCGTTGTCTATGCACTTTTTCCCCACCTTCAGACTTGGAAGAAAAAGTTTTCTTTTTAAAAAAGCAGTGAGTGCTGCAATTTATAGCGAAAATACCGATCACGTTTTGTTATCGAATATGTTAAATAGATTTATTAATAATTTGTGTGTTTATTTAACAAATAAATAAGTTTTTATGTGAAAACTACCGAGAGCAGAAAACTGCACTTTCTATTCTCGCCCGTGTTATGGAAACTTGACAACAGAGTTGCCAATGTCCGCGTATGTCATAAATGAGTATTTGATGAAGTAGCTGTGAGAAATGAATGGTTGTGTGCAAATTGTATTTTTGTAATACACTTTGGTTGTGTGCTAGAAGAATGTGGCAATTAAAGTAGACGTTATGCGGAGGGAAATTTAGTGTTAAAGTTGTAGGATTAATGGATTTATTCTAAAATGGGAAAAGATTTTACCATTTGAATCAATTGATGGACTTACAACTAAAACTAATTTGGTAACTCTGAAGATACGGAGGTTTTTGGTGTTAGAAAAGGACAAATACTGTGTTGTCTAAGAATGTTGCTATGGACTAGAAGGAATAAGCAGGTCGCTGTTTTGAATAGAACGAGAATTAATAGGGAAAATGGCGTAGAACTAGTTAAACACAGAGATGTTTTCTAATTTTGGTGCCAAAATTTGTCAATTATAATACATACAAGTTGTTTGTTTTAATTAAAATGTTTGAATACGTATTTCACCAGCAAAAAGCCACTACCAATTGAAATATTTCATTTAATTTGGAATAGTTTAAAAACTTTATCGATCAGGGCTCTGTTCAGTAAAACTTTCAGTTTTAGGGCCTCTTTGAGGCGCGTAATAAAAGCGGCAATACCGCAGCGCTGATGAAAATTTCCAAAACTGTTGCAACTTCCGAATTGATAAAACGTTGCTATAAATTCACACCGAACTACGGTGTGATTGCAACTCGAACAAGCCCTTATTTATTTTTAAATGAAAATACAAAAAAAAAAAATAATTCAACTAACCACAGAGGAAACCAACGAATGCGCCAATCGCCACAGAATTTAACGAAACGTCGACGGAATAGCTGGTGGTATGTATTTTCAGTTTTTATTTTTATATTTATTACCTAACGTTTAAACTATTTGAAAACACCAATTGCACTAATTGGAACTCAAGGTGACTATCAATGAATTTAACGGCTACTGCAGAACTGATCATTCTTTGCGCAAGTGATTTAGTTTGATACATTTTTATAGTTAATTGCTATTTTAAAAGACATTTAAACGTGTATTATAAATTACATTTAGATATTACTTATATAAAAAGTGATTTTGATACAAAAGATCATACAATTCGAAAAACATTTCTTAAACGCACTGTATGCGAGTCTCACGTACATAAATGGTGCGTGTTATTATTTTTAGTAAAAAATCTGTTATGGAAATTGTTAAATCTTTACAGGAACTCTTCACACCAATCGTTCAAACAATTGTAACAATCAGACGCCTGTTTTGAACTTGCATTGCATACTTCTTTCATCCAGTCCTTGAACAGCTCCTCGTCTTTTTTGAGTATCAAATACTGACCAAGCACGGTGTAGGCCTGCAAAATAACGTGGGTTAGATTAATACAAAACAAAATGTGTTTGATAATTTAAATTAATTCAAAACTTTGTTGTACATATACTATATGTGGCGTTAGAAGCTCTGCATTAGCAGCATCACAAACCTTATCAAATCCAGCCTCAATTAGGCGTCCTCCTAGCGTCTCACCAATGCCAGCTAATTCTGTCACAGATTTGTTGCCCATCGGCTCGGCCACAAAGTTTCTGTATTTTTGTGAAGTTCCAGCCATTTCGTATTATCTTTTTATGCTAGGAATGTAGTTTATTTTTGTCGGTGACGAATTTATGCCGCGAAAACTCGAGAAACAAAATTGAAGCGCATGCAAAAATCCACAAAGCAAAGGAAGAATGACGCACAACAAAAAAACTTCAAACCAGTGTTGCTGTTGTACAGTGAAAATGGGCAGGGTTGCTAACTATACGCCAGCGTTGGAAGTGTTTGGAAGGCAGTTTTCATGTTTGGCGGGTTGCCAAGCTTCATTATGAATTTAAATTTTGAACTTATAAAATTAAAATTGAATTTATTCAGGCATGTTTTGAAAATTGTAAGCTTTGAAATCGGTGCGATTTACTTAGGAGATTTCCTGACTAAAAGGCATAAATTTGGCACTGAATCGATGAATATAACGTACGGTTTTGATTACCATTTACCAGGGAGAGCCGAAAAGCGTTTTTTGCGTTCAGTTCAAGCAGCTTTCGGTGTTTACACGCGCTATTAGTATCTGAGCAACCGAACACCCGTTTGGAAGCGAGGTAATGTGAGAAAGCAAACCCACTACAATAGGTTGTGCGCTGGGCTTGGGACCCGCCACGTAAAAACAAATTTTAATGAGAGGAACAATTCAGCCTCAAATGAGACCCCCTATTTGCATGACGACCACGGCAAAGATTTAAAGGACTAAGATTTGAGAGCATGCACCTGAAACATCCGCACACTTATTGGGGAACGTTGTTGTTGTTGTTGTAGTAGGTACTAAACCCCGCTCGGGTCGGTTCATCCGTCAACGTTGTCGTCCGTTTCAGCTAAGGGGCGACCCAGGAGTGCGCGACTTCGACAAGGTCTGTCCATAAGGACAGGGGCGTTAGCTGGGTGCGGGGCATGTTAAGAGGTGCCGTGAGTCATGTGGCGACTCTCTACATGCCGGGAATTAGTTGGGCACATCCTCATTAATTCTGCTCATATATGGGTTTAGCCTGCTGGAATAGCCAGAGCGACGTTGGGCTATTGTGGTGCGGGTCTCCCGAGGCAGACAAAGTTCTGTCCCGTCCACGTCAGGTGGCTGTGTGCCTAGAACGGCATTCACAGGGCGGGAGTCTACATAACTTGAGACCGACTCCCTGTGAATGTCGCTCAGGGCCTGTCGATGAGCTGACGGGTCCAGAGGTTGTTTAATGAACCCCTAAACTTCGTCTGGCGAGGGCTCTTCTGCGAGCAGTTGTTTGTTTGGATAACAACGTCTGTGGCTCCCCGCAAGAAACTGCTTGCAGAGCATTGTGTTATGCTCCTTGATTGGGAGCATCTGCGCCTCGTCGTGAAGGTGGTGTTGGGGCGACATCATAAGGCATCCACTGCGTCCTGCTAGTCCCAGGCGACCACACGGGCGCTGCACCACGGCCAGCAACTTGAGGACATTGTTGCGGCTCTGCTCTCTGTTGACAATTGCGGTTGTGTGCGCCGAGAAGGAGAGCAGACTGTCGTAGGTGACCCGAGGATTTTGGTGTTATTCACCGTCGGTATTGTTACGCCATCGACGTGAATACCCAGTTATAGTCTGACCTCCTTCGTCCAGGTGGTGAATAGGGTTGCCGAGGATTTCGCAGGGGATTGGGCAAGGCTTTTTGCAGTGAAGAAGCGAGAAATCTCGGCGAGATAACCGTTTACTTTCGAGCAGAAGTCGTCAATTCCATTCCCAGACGTCATAATCGAGCAATCGTCAGCATAAGAGACAATAGTGACTCCCTCTGGTCGTTGAGGGAGCTTTGAATTATAATAATTAAACGATAGTGGGTATAGGACTCTACCCTGCGGTACCCCCTGTTTAATATTTCTTAGTTTGCTGGTTTTGTCCCTAAAAGGTACTGACGAGTATCGACCGCTCAGATAATTCGCCGACCACCGTTTGAGTCCCTGTGGGAGTGAGGAGGTCTCTATGTCTTCTAGCAGCGCTGAATGCCTTACAGTGTCGAACGCCTTGTATTGGGGAACGTGCCTCTGCCCGGTTGGTTGATGGCGTAGGGAAAACAAAGACTGACATCACCGCCAGCCAAGAAATGCGATGGATAAGGGAAGACAAAAACACGTGTTTCTTTGCGACGTCTACCACAGCTGTCATATAAATGAGCGCAAATTTGGTGTTGGATTTGTGATGGAAGAGATTTGGGTCTAATATGTGACCATTTCGGTACTATTCATTTACCAATATATTTGGCCAAGAACTTGTTGATGTTGTAGCGACTACTCAATCCTTCCTAGATCGGCTTGTCCCTCAATCGTTGTCGTCAGGATTAACTAACAGGAGACCAAGAAAGTGTGCAACTCCAACTGGGTTAGACCATGGGGACAGGGGTGTTACTTGAGTGGGCCTTTGGGGGCATTCAAAGAGATATCTCGTGTCATGCGGTGACTCTCCGCATGCAGGGCACTAGTTGGGCACATCCGCATCTAACCGGCTCAGGTAAGAATTTATACTGCTGCAGTAGCCATAGCGAAGTTGGGCTATGGTGGTGCGAGTCTCCCGAGGCAGATGAAGGTCTTTCTTATCTACGTCAGGTGGTTTTGTTTCGAAAATGGCTTTCACAGGTCTAGAGTCGGTATAATTGGAGACCGACACCGTGTGAGTGCCGTTTATGGCCTGTCAGTATATTGTCGGGTCCAAAGTTTGGTTTATGAACCTCCGTAAGTTCATATGGATGCCATTTTCCAGATATCTGGAACGATGAGGGTGGCGTTAGACAGATTTAGGACCTTAGTGAGATTATCTACTCTTACGGGACCCAAGTTTTTCAACATCAGCATGCATGTTCGCTTCCCGATGGCTACCTGAACCTCATTGCTGGTGAAACCAAGTGGTGCATTGCGTTTTGCAGTTTGGGCAGCCTTCTGGTCACTCCACGTTTGCATTTGCCCATCGGAGGATACAGCGTTTAACTGTCGGCTAAAATATCGCTCGCATCGCTCCGGCTTCATCGGATTGGAAAGTGACCTCACGGTTGACCAAAGCTTACTCACACCAGAGGTGAAGTTGCAAGACTTCAGATTCTCCTCACACTTCTTCCGCTTGTGTACGTTCACCAGTTGCCGAAACTCCCTGTTGACATCCTGGATCGGCCTGACGAAGGCTGTCAGCCGCTTCAGCTGGAAAATTCGGACGGGTGTCCGAAAGTCATCCGGCGGGAATGAAGCGGGCTGCAGCAGCAGTGACAACCCTGCGGAACTTACGCTCACTTACTTAAACGTAACTTCCGCGAAGCCGTTCCAATGCGCTTTACTAAAGTTTACGTAGGTTCGATGTTACTCGGAAGCAAAGTCGACAGGTTTATCGTTCCATATGACTATGGGCGGATGGTCTGATGCTAGAGTCAGCATAGGTCGCCACGTTATGCTGTTTATCAGATCAGCGCTTACAATTGCTATGTCAGCTGCCCATAATCCATATAATCCTAATGTCGAATCGTCTACCCGCTCAGCTTGAATGCCAAAGATCGTGGAGCGTGTTGAAGTCACCAACTTCTATACGGTTTTCACCTCTGATGGCGCAGCTATTTCAGGGCAGGTGGTTACAGAGGGTATATGTATATACGCCAAATATTTCGAGGTCGACATCGCCTGGCCGAAGAGCAATACCCTGACATTCCAGGATGGTATCCCCGCGGTCGACGATGTGGTGCGTGAATAACGCTGTGCCACACCCACCATTACCTCGCTCCCGCTCTTGGCGGTGCACATTCTATACAGCGCAGCTCAACAATGTTGAGTTGCTGTGCAGCTTCGTCTCTTGGACCGCAGCTATCAATAATCCATGTCGATCCATGAAGTCGGTTATCTCCTCGATATTGCTCTGAAGTCCGTTGCAGTTGAACTGTAGAATCTTGGGGTGCCTTGTGAGACATCGCAATATAGGGCGTGAGTGATTTGTGGTGTTGCCTGCCGGCCAATTGATGTGTATGCTGCTGTTGGGGATGCTTCCTTGTGGTGGTAGTGGGCAGCGTCGCAGAGGGTTGAGGGTTTGCGATGGTATAGTACAACTAGGGCCCACGAAGTTGCTCGCCCAATCGCACGTCGTGAGCAGTCCTGAACACGCCCTAAAGTGGAACCAGCCAAGGCACTTGACTGATGTCACGTTACGGTATATCCTGGACTGACACATCGAGTAGATTGTATGATGAACTATGAGCTGTTGGCGGCGGGGTGTTGGTGGGGGTGAGGTTGTGTCTGTGGTATGCTTTTCTATGGCTGTGCTCTGTTGGGGTGGTTCGGTTGGTGTAGCATGAGACCACGAATGATGTGATCCACCGCCGGTGAGTTCTAACACCTGGACAGCTTCTGAGGTGACTCCACCAGAGTAGGTATTGCGCCTGAATGAGGTGGATTTTGGGTGTAACCGCCTCTGGCATACGCAGCAGGTGTAGGTTTCTGGTTCAGGGTTTGATTCGATGCCAGCCCTGAGCAGATGTTGCCCCTTGGATGAACAAAGTTTAAGAGATTTCGCCTACCTAAAAAGGGTTAGATCACCGAAACAACGGAACAGAGCCAGACTGTCATCAAGCAGATTCCCAAAGACTCTTTGGAGAACTTTTACGCTGTTACAATAATGAACGCTAGCAATCCGACATTAAAAGTTCTCGAAGCGGTACGCGCTGGTGATCGTGGAGGCATAGGAAAGCCTTGCTTTATAGGATTCGGCCAAAATCATTTAGGCAGTTACAGGGCGATGAAGAAGGTAGATTGGTATAAAAAATTGGAACAATCAAATATTGACTTTGGCACTTTTGAAAAATTCTAAAACTGACATATTTTAGTAACTATCTAATCTTTGGGGTTACCTTTGACAGCCTGCTCTCCATTTCCGCACACACAACCGCTATTAGCAATAAAGTACAGAGCCGCAACAAGGTCCTCAAGTCGCTCGCCGGCAGCACCTGGGGTAAAGATTCAAAAAACGAGGCAATCGGCCGAATTATGCGTCCCCGGTTATGAATTATGTGGCACCTGTTTGATCGCAGGGAACTAGTTGAACGCAATGGACGAAAAGCAACAGGATGCCTTCTGATGTCACCTCAGCGTTATCTATGTATATATGTATGTAGATACATAACGAGTTCCAAATGTTCCCTGTAAGGGACCATGTTTGGGTGGAGGACCCAGTCACGTTAGAAGGCATCTTTTCGAGTATATGCACGCGGTCCAAACTTACATCGACCAACCACTGGCCCGATGATGCATCGACGAGTGATCAATGGCACTCAGAGGGGCTGACCTATGAATGCCGTGATAAGAGTCCAATCTACAGCTGTTGCAGACTCATAGTTTCGACTTGCACGTAAGACACGCGTCATTCTAGCCCAACTATGGTCTTGATATTGCAGCTGCCTAAACGGCTACTTATTCAGACTCGACCCCGACATCTCCAACGAGTGTCCGGCATGTGGAGACAACCCCCATGAAATCATAAACCTCTTCATATGTGAACTCGAGCTTGCCCAGCTAACACCACTTTCCCTCTAGTCTAACCACGTCGAAACGGCTAGTTTCCTAAGGCTACCGTTAATTGAGCTTGACGACAATGATTGATGGACAAACCAACCTAGACGATGCTTAGTAGTGCCGCTACAAACACAACAACAACAAAGGCCAAAAGAAATTTATTCTAAAATGCATTGGGAACTTCTCTTTTTTATGGATTTTTTTTCTATGAAGTTTCACTTGTACCGCACGTAGGGAATGCTATACATATTTAACAGCGTTGCCCACCCGCCGTCTTATTTGATAAATGCACTTTTTGAATGCAACATTCGCTTCTAACTAATTTTAGTGCAGTGTAAAGCGTTTGCAATGGACAACGTTGACATTTGATTGATGTTTGCTATCCACAATCAAGCCATAAACATTTAAATGCTAAATAGTCATTACGAAAATGCAATGCGAAAAGTGCTATGAACCCTTTGAACCTTCTTTTCAACGATAAGTGCGTAGATATGCCGCCACCAAGCAAAAACTTACAACGAAGAAATGCAAAGCCAACCAAAATATATTTAAGCGTTTGAAAAAGTAGGCTTGAACAGTTAAAACCTAAGCTCAAATGTTCAACATGTTTTTCGTTTTTATGGTGAAAGTATGAATTGGTTCCTAAGAATTTCTGTGTACCTAATTGCTTTTGGTAAGTGATGAAAGAAACAACAAGCGTGATCTTTACTATTAAATAATTTTCATGCACCCAGCTGTAGCGCACGCCGAAGTGGAACTTAGAGATGAGGACTACAACAAGACTTGGATGTATATGCCCAACGGCGAGGGTGAAATGGAAGTGGCTTATTTGGTTGAACCGCCAGCCGAACACGATCGTAGTGAAATATCTGAATTTATACAATTTGAATTTTATGACAGGTATGCACTAGCGCGCTCTACAATCATTCATCCCACATTTTTGCTCATATTTACTGCATACCAATGTACTTTTACGCGCCAGCTCGAACCCTGACAAACCATTAACGACCGCTTTTTCGCTACTCGAAAGCCCCACGACGAGTACCACTCGCCGACGCAAACGTGAGACCTGGGAGGAGCTAGCCGATAGATTTAAACCCGATATAAATACGAAAATTTTGGTACATGGCTGGAAGTCGAGTTCACGCAGTAATTCCATACAAGCTATACGCAACGCTTACACCGAACGTGGTAATGTGAATGTATTCGCTATAAATTGGAGCGATCAAGCGGATAATATTTACTATCTTGAACCGGCGCGTTATACAGTACAAGTGGGTAGAGCAGTGGCGCAATTAATTGATTTGCTAGTGGAACAGAAAGATGCCGATCCGAAGAGCATACATTTGATAGGACACAGTCTGGGGGCGCATATAATGGGTTATGCTGGCTCGTATACGAAATATCGCGTTGGACGTATTACCGGTGAGTAGTGGAGCATACCGATTGCAAGAGAAATTACACATGCACAGTTGCGGGAAAATAAATAGGGACGCGACATTTTAACAAGTTTTGGCTATTTATTATTTTTTTTATTTAATGTTTATTATTATTATAAAAAATATCAAAACTGGGTGGAGTTTTTGAACAGCTTGAAACTTGCAATTTATTAAATTAAAATTTAACGCATACTAATAATTTTACTAAAAATTCTTATTAAAAAGTTTAAAATTTTGCCGAAATTTCGAAATTTTTGTACAAAGTTTGAAATTCAGACTTACTGGATTTTTTGCAACGAGCTATATTCTCAAAAAAACAAAAAACAATAAACGTTAAATAAACAAAAGCAAAATAGCAAAAATTTGTTAAAATGTCGCGTCCCTATTTATTTTCCCGCCCCTGTATGTATGCATTTGCGTATTTATGTAGGTTTGGATCCCGCACGTCCCGCTTTTGAGGGCAGCACTGGTCCTGAGAATCATCTCGATGTAACCGATGCTGAATTTGTTGATGTCATACACACCTGTGCGGGTATTTTGGGCTACAAGCAACCGATTGGTGTTGTAGATTTCTATCCAAATGGTGGAGGCGCTTTCCAGCCAGGCTGTAATCAACCTGCGCAAATATTTAGTGAGTTAATTTAGCATAATTTCGTTTAAAACTCAGAGAACGTATAATCATCACTCACTTTTATTTTTCATATATTTATATATAAGGGTGCATCACTCTCCCTGAAAAAATAAAAATAAAATAAATAAAAATCGTCGAGGGTTTTCCATGGGAATTATAAAGCTAATTATATTTTAAGACTTCTAAAATATTTCGAAAAAATATTAAGATTTACGTGAGTGAACTGGATAGATTTGAAAATACCTCAAAAATCGCATTATTTTGATTCCGTTGATAAAATTTTTAAACATTTTTATGCAGACCTTTCAAGCTTAAACTTTTCTATGATATAAGAATGTATTTTTGACATTTTTTCCGTGAAGAATAAATTTGTTAACTTTAGTGGCTTCCTGACGGTATATAATTAATTCTATGTATAGAGAAATTTAGTGAATAAATTACCTTTACAAAAATACAAAACACGTTCATATGGCACACAAAGAATTTTTAGATTTTTTTCCACTAAAGCAGATTAACCTAACGTAACCTATAGTTGATTTCTAATTTGTTTTCACTTAATTGTCTTTCTTTTAACCCTTTCAAAGCTGGCTGCAGTCATGGTCGCTCGTGTGAATACTTCGCCGAGTCCATTAATAGCAAAACGGGTTTCCTAGCTACCGCTTGCAATTCTGTAGTCGATGCGAAGGCTATGAATTGCACTGGACAACGAATTTTAATGGGAGATCCAGTGCTGCAAAATGCCCGCGGTATATATTCAGTAAAAACGGCGGATAAACCAAATTTTGCGCTTGGCATGGAGGGCTAAAAAAATGTAAATGATCTGGATAACAAAAAGAATATGTATGCTATGGATTAAAAAAAGAGTAAAAATTCAAAAAAAAAAATATTTGGTTCTTGCACAAACAATATAATATTATTTACACAAAATATTTTATTTAAATTTTATTTTACAATCAATACTAAATAAATGTCTAATACGATACAAATATGCTTTTTGTTTTTTTAATTACTTAAATAAATAGTTAGGGTATCGGTAAAAATACGCAAGGATGTATAAAATCTTCAATGATGTTTTAGAAAATCAAAAAGGCGTGAGTACCAGGCACTCCTAAAATTTGATGTGTAAACATCTATGTACGGCTTGACAAAGCATTAGGCGATTCAGTTACATATGTACATTAGAGTGAATCACCAGAAAAAGTAACGGATTTTCCACCGGAATCATAAAACTTATTATATTTCGAAAAAATATTAAGATTTACGTGGGCTGGACCCATCTGAAAATATCTCCAAAAATCGCGTTATTTTGATTCCGTTGGTAAAATTAAAATTTTAAGAGTAATCTTTTCTATGATCTGAAGAAATTTTTTAGAAAAATTATTTAAGAAAACTACATTTATTTATAAAAAAAAATCGATTTTTGGAGGTATTTTCAAATGGGTGCAGCTAACGTAAATGTTAATATTTTCCCAAAATATTGCTGCGGAAGTCTTAAAATATAATAGAATTTAAAACTCCGATGGAAAAACAGCACCCATTTTTTTGTATGGAAAGTGATGCACCCTAATGTACATAAATAGGTTAGGTTAGAAATTTCATTTCGTGACTAGTTTCAAACTACCCCGATATGATCCCGAACTAATCCCTAAGAAGTTTTGAAGTGGTTATAAAAAAGCCGTGAACTTGCGCCGAAATAATCTCGAAGCAGTCCCCGAAAAGTTACCTTACTAGACCCAAAACAGTTCCAAACTACACCCGAAATGTTCCTGAACTATTTCGTAAATGTCCTGAAATAGTCACTGACCATCTCGAAATGGTCCTATACTAGTTCCGAAATGGCCTGCACTAGTTCCGAAATGAATCCAAACTAGTATCGAAATAGCCCTTAAATAGTCCTGAACCAGTCTCAAATGGTCAAAAACCAGTCCCGAAATGGTCCCGAGATAGTCTTGAACTCGTCCCGAAACGAATGAAAAAATCGTGAACTTGTCCCGAAATTATCTCGCACAACGTCTGTAAAGGTTTCGAAATAATCCCTTTTTAATCCCAAAATGATCCCGAACTAGTCTCAAATTAATCCTAAATTAGCCTTGAACTAATACCGAAATGGTCATAAACTAGGCCAATAATTATCCCGTAATAGTCCCGAAATGTTTCTCAAATAGTCCGAAATAGTCCAGAACTAGTGCTCAAATGGTCGAGAACTAGTTCCGAAATAGTGCTAAAGAGGTTCCGAAATGGTCTGGTTCCGATACGATCCTGAAATGGTTCTAAACTATCCGTGAACTGGTTCAGAAATGTTCATTTGTACACACCCGAAGCTATTACAAATTTTCTGCTGGGTTAACGCAAATTTTACCAATACGGAGAGCTAAGATGTTTACACATCAAAATTAAAATGTTGAATAAATAAAAAATCTTTTCGGTTTTATTGAGAGATTACTTCAACTTTGTAAATAAATCCGATAACTTTCATCATAAAATATACAACAACTATTCAATAAACTCTTCATGCTATCACATCGGTTCTACGCCGTATGATATTGTGCGATCGATGTGTTCCATTGTTGATAACATCTTCAGGTCTTGGCTCAATTTCATAGTGAATATAACCATCCACATCATCGAGTTCTTTACAATTGAATTTGGCAAGAAGTGTACCACGTCCCGCATAAGGTGGGACATATTTGAACGTTGAGGCAGCTGTGCCACCGACTGGGATCTCAGCGATCTGGAAAGAGATAAAAAATAAATGCAACACTCACAAATATGTAGTGGCTATGTACATGACACAACTCGCATTGAGCATAGCCTGTAATGCGAGCAATCAAGTTGATACCAATTTGATTACTCCTGTTGGTCACTTACCTTAAATCTCATCGCTTTCTCGATACCGGGTCCTTCAATATAGAATAAACCCTTTTTAAGTGGTATGGGCAGCGGATTTGTTAAGCGTACAATCACATCCACTGCTTGCTGGGAAATAATTTTTCCTTGGAATGTGAATTTGATATCCGGTTTGCGTACTCGGAAGTCATCCTGTGCGTAGTATTCATATTCGGTACCTTTCACCTTGGCAGCGCACGAAATATTGAAAGCGGCCTAAAAGGTAAAGAACAAAGTGTTATTTTTAAGCTGTGTTTTTATATTTGGATTGGAAAAAGAGAGAGAAAAGGGAGACTGTGGGTATCATTTACTACATATGGACAACTTTTGGATAGGTGGCTCCCGCATCAGCTCAGATATCGCTCGAAAAAATCGAGGACATTGGAATTTTCATGATAATTTTAGCCCAAATTTGACCGGAGACGGTCTACATATCAATTCTGGGATATATGCTAACTGGACGATATCCGATTGGTATTCATGCGCTGAGCGTAAATTTCTCGGGTCCAGCTGCTTATAGAACGATTAGGTGAGATCATTTCAGTACTCTTCCTTAAGCTAAGTAGCTTTTGCGAGTGTGCGACCTAAACAGTTTGGTTCGAACTTTCTAACCAGCCCCGAGGAGCGCTCAGGATCTGACATCTGACGTTTCGTTATAGACAGACGCTGCTTTCCGCTGAAGCCTATCAGTTACCATTCTTAATTAGTTGTATTACAAAGGACTGATGCTTATGGTCCAAGTACTCGCTTTTTTAGTACAACCACCTTAGCTTAACCTAACCTAACCATTACTGCCCCAATTGCCGCCTGTATGTAGATGACTTTGTTAACACGGCACTTTCGAGGATTAGTAGCTTATATGGCTGTTCAATTTAATTCTCCGAGCAAAACGCACAAATTTTCCCTTCTTCAATAAGCCGAAGCCCCGTATACCAATCGTCTTGCTGCTTAATAACGTGAATTCACCTTTAAAAGTTGGATCGAAGAACGAAATAGACTGATCAGCCGCTCAATTTTCGTAAATTACTGTGTCAGCGATTTTGTTGCCTGTATTCACAGCGCGATATCTTCGTTAAATTTTTCGTGATTAAGCATACCTTTGAAACTATGCACATCATCATACCAAAGGACCGTAGAGCTTAATGGGCCTAATGAAAGCTATGTAGACCTAAAATGTGTTCGTCCGAAGGAATATTTTTTCATGCCTTTTTGAATCCGTACAACGATAAAAATGAAGATATACGTCTTATTTATTCCTAAATCGGTCATCCGGCTTGTGGTATCAAACTGGAGAGCTAGCGAGTGCCGCCAAAAGTTGTTCTGCCTTGGAGGGGCAGTGTTTAAACACTTTTACGAAGTAAAATATCTTAGAATTGTGCTTGATAATATACTAAGGCGAAACTCTTATTAAAGCCACCCGAGCCAAGTGAACCTGTGGACGACTTTTTGGTCGGACATTGGGTCTGAACTCTAAGTTAATAGATTGGCTATACCTTATAGTCTGTTCCATTTTCGCTAAAGCCTTCTCGTCTGGTGCTTAAAACCTCATAAGAAAACTGCTATGCAAACCACGTTTTAATAAACTTCAAAGTCTGGCTTTATCTACTTTTCTGTCATAGGATCAACTTCATATTTTTGTTAAAGTAGCGTCAGCCTCGAGAGAGTTAAAAATTCAAATATTTCACGCTATTGCTAAAGCCAAGGGAAATGTGTTTAGGCAGAAAATTCTTGGTCAAAATTCCCGACCGAGAAGAGGGGGTAAATATGGAGCAAAAGACAGGCAGGTGCGGGTGTTAATCAACCGAGTACTATGTAGACTCTCTATTGCGGTGGCAGATGGTTCTCAGACTCTCAGACCGAGGTGCTAGCAATCTCGATCTGTGCCAGATAAAAAATTTAAAAACATATGAAAGGCGCAGTTAGCTCTTCAGACAACCAAGCGGCCATCAGGGCCCCATCCTGTAGAATGATCAGCTGCAAACTCTTCAATTTTTTCCAGCTAGAAGCATGGTAACACTATGCTGTCTACCGGGCCATTGCAGAATATATGAAAACTAGCTTGCCAATGAACCGGCAAGGGAAGGCTAACTGTCTCTGTGGACCGGAACTATTTTGCGGGCTGAAATAGTCTTCTTTGAGATTTACAATTATCGAGTGGATAGACTTAGAGCGAAAATCATTCACCGTGAAATCCGTTATTCTTAGGAACCCAGGGCACTTTTAGCATTTATTAGGGAAGCAGATAGAATCTTAGGTCGCCAAGGGCAAATGCAAGGTTAAGTATCTACAGGCAAATATCATAAAACCAACTAACTATGAAAGTCGCTTCTACAAAAAAAGATCGATACACGATCAATATGCCGTTAACGTCATCGGTAACGATAATTAGGTCGATAATAATGACAATATTGAATATCATAATTAAGTTTTCAGAAAATTCTAAGGTGAAATTCTTTTTTCTATGGCTAAATAGGTAGGCTTATCCTACCTATCCTAGCATTTAAAAATAAGGCCTTATAAATTAACTCACCTGCGATGTCAATTTCCTAAAGTATTCTTCAAACTGCACTTCCATTCGCACAAATTCAGACATTTCTGGCTTCAATTCTATTTCGAAGGGCATCGTCTTAACCTCCTCTCCATTGATGCCTGTATATAGCACTGCATCGCAATTTAACTGCCCGCTCGCCACATGCACATTATCCTTGGATTTATTTGTGATTTTCACTATTACCGTGAAACTCTCGCCGATCTTGATGTCATCCTTCAGCGACATATCAAACTCCACCTCATTGAAGCTGTCATTCAAGTAGTAGCGACTGAAAGCGTTCTGCGATTGCTTTAATGCCTTTAACATCGTATTACGTTCCTCATCAGTCTTCTCTTCGTACTTGTACGTATCTGTGATATCATCGCGTTCCCACTTGAGCACCGCTTTTGTGCTGATTAAATGCCCAATTGCCAAGGTGTCCTTACGTAGTAACTTTATGGGTTGATATGGGCCATTGTAACGCCAGTATACCTTGTCGGCATTCACCTCCGAATAAACGAAACCACAGTCGAAAGGACGTAATATTTCACCATTCTTCACTGCAACTACCGAGGCCGGGCCGACACGGTACATGCTATCCGAGGGCTCTTGTGGCGTTGCATCCACTGCTTGCCAACCGCCATAGCCGCCATACGGACCAATACCTAAATCTGGCCGTTGCATCCACACCTCATTCCAAACGTGATAGTTCCATATGGAATCAGTGGTCTCCGCATCCAACTTCTTATTGTTTTGATCAATAAAAATATCCACTGTCAGCGAACCCTGCGTATCATGCGCCGCCGAGTAGCAAGTGACAATACGCGACGGTATGCCGAGCGTGCGCGCAATTGTGGTTAGTACACCCGAGAAATTCCAACATTGCCCAAATTTCACAGGCTTCTGTGTTTTATAGAATTGTTGCAAAATTTCAGTTGATCCAATCCATTTAGTTGGCGCCGTACCGCCCGAAAAGTCCTCGCTCCAATTGCCCAGTATTACGCCATCATCATCCACCGAATTCACAGCGGCCGAAAGTGCACGCGCCACACGCACTGGGTCACCGCGATAGGCGGGGGGTATGCGTCCCACTGTACCGAGTAATTTTATTGAGCACTCCAGCACATGACGCTCGAATTGACCCAACTTCCACACCGAAGGACGCATGCGATTATATGAACCACGCCAGATAAGAGTTGTGTCGTGCATAACATACTCCTTGCGTTTATCATAATCGGCCATGTAGACTTGATCGTCCGGGCACCACGGATTGAAGAGCACGTAAATTGGCAAGGGTATGGAAAAGGTTTTCGAACCATCGGTTAGCAATTTCGTATCGATATCTAATTTCCATTCGGTTACGGGGCAAGTGACGGCAGGTTTGATGAGCACCGTAAGTACTGTGTCTTCGTGTGATTCAATGCCTGCAGCCCAATCCAGTGGATCGCCGAGATAATCGATGCCATCACGTGGCACCAGTCCTACCAGTGTGCCATGGCCGGGACTGGGTTTTGGATCATCGCCGACGGTGAATATAAAACTGATGGCATCGCGTGTGGGATTGAATGAACGATTGAAGTGTATACGCAGGCGGAATGGATCACCGCGTCGCACAATTAAAGCTTCTTTGGCGGCAAAGAAATGATCTGTTTTGTGTTCGTCATTATTCTCTTCTAGGCAGAGATCTGCATTGAGTACGGTGAGTATGGCATCAGCGTCGGCGGAATCTGAAATCGAAAGTGTGCTGAGTTAAAGGATTAAATTTTTAATAGAAAAACGAAAACAAAAGCTAAGATAAAAAACATACATAGCTAAAGAGAAGCAAAAAATGTTGTTCTACTAGATTTTTTTCCATTTTATATCTTAGCTCGCAAGCTTATTAAATAGATATATAGTACATACTAATTTTAAATGAAGACTAATTGGTATTTTTAAATCTCTCAAAAGGTCGATAATCTATCGCTTCTAAGCCTTTGTTTTTATTGAATTAAAATATTACATCTCTTGTTTTTATCTAGCGACAAATCTCTCTGGGCTTTAGGCCAACGAGAAATTAAATCAATATGAGCTACTTATTACACTCAGAAACGTTGGCAAAAAAAATTTTGAATATTTTGCTGTTATTCATAGTTTCTAAGTTTATTTTCTGCCCAAAGATGATCTCATAAATCAATTACTAAAAATGTGTAAACGTAGGCGTGCCTGCCCAGAAACGCTTGCATGTATGTATGTACAAATGTACATACGTCTAGTACCTACTTTTATACGCCTGCATGCATCCACTCGTGTGCGCATAAATTATAATCGGAAATGTAACACATTCAATATTTGACTTATAATTTGATTGCTTACTTATTTCGTCGTTAGTTATTAGTAACACAAAATCTGGTTACACTATGTGCTATTTATTTGTAAACACTGAAGCAGTTGCAAACAAAATTGCACGCTCATTAATTCAATTGAGATTATAGCCAAGGTAGTACAGCTTTTAAGTATTTTCAGCTGTTAAACTACAAACTACACAAAACTTGTGCAAAACTAAAATATAAAACAAACCAAATCGTTTGTGAGAGAAAATACTGTAATTATGACTATGATAACTAGTGCCCGGATTTTTATGCGCTAAAAAATCGAAATTATGCACTAAAAACTGAAAAATATGCAAACAAAAAAATATGCAAACAAAAAAATATGCAAAAACACTTCTCGCATTTGTTTTGCTTTTTTATTTTCTTTATTTACTTCAATCAAGCTAGTTCATTGGGATAATAGCTATTAAGCAGGGATCACACGATTTGTATATTTGTACAAATTTTTACATTTTGGCAGTCACATAGTGGTGTTTTTGAGTTCAGCTCAATAAAAGAATTTCCAGACAACACCACTCTGTAACTGCCAAAATGTACAAATCTGTACAAATGTACAAGTCGTGTGATCCCTGCTTAACAGCTGTCACTTGCGGCCATTTGGCTACTTAGCACACCAGATATTATCACTTAAGTTCCTTAAATCCCTTATTTTTTTGTCCTTTTGTAGAATTGTATCCAATTTTTCCTTGATTTTTTTGCCCTTGAAAAGTAGTAAAAGGCAGTCTCCACAAGATGCACTTGTTCAGCCAATTATTTTTTTTCCTTCCGACAAGAAGCTGTAGTTTGCATTGCATAGGCAATAATATTTTCAACGCGCAAATCAGATTTTAAAAATATATTTTTCCCATTCGATATTAAATCATCAACATCACTGAAGCAAGGCTCTTACATCTTCGGCCGTTCGGTGCATTGCGTGCCAAACAAGTAAGGTGCAGTAACTTTGGGTAAAATACCTTTAGCGCCTTTGCTGATTATGCCATATCGAACCCTAACCGCCAAAAAAAACGTAAGCGACATATTTTTCAAAAATTTTCTTTTTGATGCAGAAATGCCTATAGAGCATATACATATGTAGATGTAATGTATGATATATGGCGCTGCCTCAATGACATTAAAATGCGACAAAATCAGTACCCAATAGTTGCATGGAATCCATCAAATGCTCTTGCAATTGTGGAGTGATTCGTCCGTTCTATGAAGACAAATGGCGTTTTGATAAAAATGCAATTAAATATGCTTTTTTGTCAAAAATATATGCCTATATATGCATTTATGGCAAAATATGTAAGAATATGCACTAACAAATCGATGGCATCTTAACACAAAACTCTTGATTCGCAACATTAATTTGTTAATCTTTAAGATCCTATGACTTACCAAACAAAATATGTAAATGCATAGAAATCCGATCCCTATAATAAGAACAATATTACACTAACAACAACAAACTTCTGGAATTGGAAACATGAAAATGAAAAGTGTTGAAATTGTAAATATGTATTCAAGTTTAATAAATGTTCATTGCGACATCGTCGCAATCAATCGTCTTGTCATTGACTTGTTCTATTAAATGTCATCTAATGTAGTGTGTGCATAACAATTAGCTGTGAGCGTCACTATCTTATTTCTAGATTTCATGCAGTGCAACAGTGACAATAACATAAATTAATAATTTTGATTTCTCGCAATATTATTGTGGCTTATTAATATTTATTTCAATATTGTTGTTGGAAAAAGCAACAAAGTCTAAGCTGTAAAAGTTATAGCTGCTATTTCGGAGATCACCACATCTCCTCATCAGACCTCTTTTTCTAGGCTTCAGCAGGAATCGAACCCGCATCATCGATCTGCAAAGTCAGAAGCGCTAACAACTGAGCACACCCTGTAAACTCTTATGGCTAATTAGTAATTACTCGTAATTTGATTTCTTTTGAATACTAAACTAATGGCGTTTTCGTTTCTAGACACAATTTTGCCTTTTCATTGTTCGGTTCTTAGTGTTTGTGATTAGGGGGCAATGAGAAGGTAACATTTTTCGGGTGAAACGAAAACGCCATAAGTACGGTGACCATATTTATGGCAGCCGAATGTGGGACAAAAAATAATCTTGACCATATTTTCCACAAAAGCTAGAAGATCTTAAAACCTTTTTCAATGATCCTAGATTTATTAACCCCGAAACAGCATCTTTAATTCGCATATGTTTTTCGATATTTTGTAAAAGCAGTACATAATTATTTATTCAGTTGTAACATCACACATTTGTATAATATTTTTCCATATCCTTGTAATTTGTGCTCGGGATTTTTTTTTAATTTGTTACAAACATTACGAGGCAGGGAAACGTGACGAAAATATCCGACTCATTTTGAACCACGAGCGAGTATTATACAACGGATTATTTTTAGACTCGGATTTCGGCCAAGCTCAATGCAGGGAATAGCATTCGGAACGAGCTGAATTGCAAAGCGTAACTTTGAAGGGTTCCACTTCAATTCCATCCTTAATAACTCTTTACTATTACAACATTATCATGGAGTTTCTCACGTTGAAGATACAATCCCCCATACAATCAGCAATAATTTGTTGTTGCGTAGTTTCGCCTAATGAATTACTTCTCTCTTCATAAAATTTGAAAATTGCCTGCACACCACGGCACATTGGACAGGTAATAGTATCCGATAAAAAACAGCAAGCCGGGTTGTGTATTTTTGAGTTGGTTTTGGAATCCATATACGTAAGCAAGGTTTGAAATTTTAGAGTAAAATGTAAAAAAAAAATGACAATTTAAAGACGAAATTTTCGACAAAAGTGAAATCAGCTGCTCTACTGCTGCCACCTTTTCAATATGCTTTGCTCCACACAGAATATTTAACGTGAAATGCGTTGTAAGAAACCTTTGAAAAGCTAAATACTAATGAAATTTCTTTCAGAAATTTGACCAATAATCATTAACGTCTAATTTCGATTCATACTCACAAACACCTAGATTTTCTACGAAAATTATAGCTTCAGAAACCATCTACATAGTACATATCGTCGCTACCATGTCAAAGTATCGAATGTGCAAAAGTGCTTTTTCATTTACGATACCTTGCGTCGAATTTTTAGTCTTCTTAGAAGCAGAAGATACTGGCTTTAAAAAAGTATCGAATCCCACATTTTTTCCTAATGACAACAAAATTTTTTACAACAGTTTCTTTGCTCTCCTGAAAAGTTCCAATATTCACATTCGATAGTTTGACATGGTAGCGACGATATGTACTCCTCAATTCGCATCACAAGCGTTGAGATTTTAAAATAAAAAGTGTTTCATAGGCATGCCATTATTATGAGCTGTTAAGGCAACCAAAATACAGAACAGTTGGAGTCCCGCATGAAATAAATAAATTACCAGGACAGTTGACGAAATCCGTATAATACAGTACGGATGGTCACCATAGCCATAAGAGTGAGCAATGCAAGATCACTCATACGCACTGTAGATCTGTGTGATAAACATGCCCATATGTATATGTATGTAGTTGCGTATGTACAATGGAGTACCTACGAGATACATATGTACATAAGTGGTGTTCCAGATAACTTCGTGTAAAAACTTGTATAACTGTCAAATAACAAAATTACTCTCTTGAAAGAGAGGAGCGAGAACGAAACAGTAAAAGTCACCTGGAACGCGAAAAACCACTTTTCCTGTAACTACTTAAATTTTTTAACAAATGTAAGGTTCTTTGCTTTCGTCGCGTTCTGTTTTTGTTTACAAATGCACACTTTTCATGAACTTGCAGTAAGAAAAACTTCGGAATAAATCCTGCAACTTCTGACTGAGAGAGAGTGCAAGTTACTCTCAAAAAAGTGCTTTGACTTACAGGTTTTTTGGCACCTGGATCGCTTTCCTGTAAAAAAAAAACCTGGAAATCGTGAATATCGTGAGCATCTGGAACGCAAGTATACATATATTAAAATTGCAAACATCTGAATTTTTTCGGTGAATACGCAGGTACGCAGAAAGAAAAGGACATATCTAGTGGAAGAATCCCAAGCCCCCTGGACCTGAAGCCAAAAAATGGACTAACAACTTACAGTTTTTTGCAATCGAAACCAAAATTATTTATGTATGTAGTTTTTTTTTATTACACTGGAGCACAAATTTTAATTTTGTTTTTGTTCTTCAGACGCCACTATCCAATTTGAATGTAGAATCTCTCGCTGATTCCGAAAATCGGATTAATTTTTTTCTTTATGTATACGTTTTCGAGATATTTTCAACTTACCGTTATTAAACTTAAATCAAAGAGTGGTTCCACTTAATTTTCATATCTAACAAACCAATTGAATAATCGTTATACGAGATACGGAAAATGAAAGCAAATAAACTTCTCCATAAACCATATATATGTACATCACTTTTCGATAGGCCGGACAGTTTCTTAGAAATGGATTAATCATTCCAGGTTTTTTGTTTTTTTGATGAAAACTTTAAAAGGGAAACAATTTCAAAATCAACATTTTCTTTTTAAATGTTTGGCACTTGTGTTAAAGCCGGTTCCTTTAGAAAAAAATTTAGCTACCCTGGGGAAAATCGATGGATAAATAAGAAGGTAATGATTGGTCGGCCGCTGTGGTGTAGTGGTAAGCAGTGTGCGCTTTCACTAATCAGAACCTGTGTTCAAGCCCTGGTCAAAGCAACATCGTAAAAAATATAGAAAATGTTTTTTTCTTGACAGCGGTCGTCCCTCGGCAGGCAATGGCAAACCTCCTTGTGTATTTCTGCCATGAAAAACAGCTTCTCATAAAAAAATACAATCGCCGTTCGGAGTCGGCGTAAAACTGTAGGTCTCTCCGCTTTGTGTGACAACATCAAGGCGCACGGCACAAGTCGTAGGAGAAGCTCGGCCAAACACTTACATATGTATAAACGCCAATATATTATTATTATTATTAATGATTGGTCAAATGAAAATGCGCAAGGTTTTTTTTTCGTATGAAATATGAGCAGAATAGAGTGTTACTCATACGCCACATACACCTGAGTAGGACGAGTGTTCTCAGAAATTATCGGGGAAAAGTGATGTATATGGTTTATGGAGAATTTCATTACCTTTGATTTGTTGTATCTCGTATTACGATTATTCAGTTTAAGCTTGCATTTAAGCTGATTAACGGTAAATTGCAAATATCTAGAAATGTTATCCATAGATAAAAAAATATCTCGATTTTCGGAATCACCGAGCAATCAGACAGTGGCATCTATAGAACATTTTTGCTGTAAACCAGTGTAATTTTTATAAATGTTTCCAAGAAAGGCAATTATATGCGCTTTACATAATTTAAATGAGAATCGAATGCAGTTGTTTCAACAGTTTTCGCTTTTAAGAAACACTGCAATTTAGGGATATTATAAGGCATATGAAAATCAAAACTTAAGAAAAATCTTCATTTACGCAAGTCTACGAAAACTCTATTTCAGTAAATGGAAAACATGGAGCTCATTTTTCTAGAGTATAGAATATTCATTAGGTTGAATGGCCTATACTTTTGTTGGGAATGTTGTCTTAGAATGGTTTTTCAAGGATAGAAACTCCCTTATAATATTTTTCCATCCCATGGATGATAAACACCGATAATTTTGTTATTTAAGATGCTTTAAAAAAAGTTTGTATTATTAGAGACAAAGTGGCCTAATCCCAGTGATATGATTTCACCACCACCCAAATTGTGTTAATATCCACTTCTTCATCGAAGTTTGTCAAAGCAATGTTAACTTTGTTAAGATACCATAAATGTGTACGAAGTTTGCCTTGCACTGCCTCTGCAAAATCTTCGTCAATTTATTTGAACTTCTCTAGTTCCTTTAAAAGTCCTAAATCACCATCCGGTGCTCTTGATGCCACTTGCGTAAGAAAGCAATTTTTTAAATAGAACAAGTAAGTAGACATATTATTAAAATGGTTTAAAAATTGATACAAAAATCGTATATATATCGTACTCTCACGAAATGGGAAATGGTTTTTTAAAGATAATAAATAATTTTCGCCATCCATCGGGCTTGACTGATGGGTGCAGGTTTTGGTATCTCATATCCTGGTATCTATAAGACATTTCCATCAATTATAGTTTAGAAATAAAAGAGACTGATGCTTTAATGTTGACGCTGATACATTAATATGTTGACTTTGACTGCACAAAACTGAACTGAAGCGATAGGTGTAGGTTAAAAGTATGCACCAAACAAATGTTCGCATATTTATATCACGCAAAATGGCTATTTTAAGAGTTACATATAAACAAATATAGAAAAGTATCTTTTTATAATGAGTTTTTATGCCTTAGGTACTGGGGACCTTACTTGTTTCCTCGTTTCATATTTTTACAACCTTTTGGCTCAGTCTTCAATAATAAGCCTTACTCACATGGACATCCTATGCACCTTTTATCCACAGTTTAGGAAGGAGTGTTAGGAATCTTTAATCAAAACTGTAAAATGCTGCCACAGCGTTAAGCAGCGTTTTTGCTGCATTTAAAATGCAACATTTAGCACTATCGAACATATGTTTTCGAAGAGCGTTCATGCTATCGCATTTAGCAAATGTACATACATTTACGCGAGTTCGAGAAATCGTATGCTTTTGATAAACAGCCGTGTTCCAGTCGCTTATTCAGATCCGTATCTATTACAATCAATTCTCACGCAGAAGATAATGTGCAAAAAACCCTACTGAAAAGAAAAAAAAATAAATTTGAAACCAAAAGTTCAATACAAAAACTTGAATTGTTTTAACCGTAACCGAACATTTTTTTGTGTATATATTCATTTGTCGGTGCTGTCAATTAAAATTTTCTCACTTAATTAGGAAACAAAACAAACAGAGTTGATCACAAATTGATCCAGATTTCTATCACCATCACATCGATGGTGAATTTGCGTAACTTTTCTCTATCCAAATAATGTAAAATAATAAATGAAATCTTGATCGGTGATCACTGAAACGCAGCTAGCCACTGTATACGCGAAAAAGCAATGTTGTCACTGTTTCTCATTAAACCATGTTCTAATCGTGGAAATTTTGGAAGATTACAGGGTTGCTTTTAGCATTTAGATTCTTAATGCAAAAATGGAGTTGCATTTAGGTGACGAATTTTGTATGGATAAATGTACATTTAGAGTAGCATTTAGAGCTAAATGCGCTAAATGTGGTTTTACGCGTAAGCAAAAGTAGCCCATTACCGACATGTTAAATGTTACAGTGGTCATGGAGATTTTACCTAAAAATTACACAGCGTTCATAATTTTTCTTGGCTTACAAAATTTGCAGCCCCTTACATTTGAACATTTGTTAAAACCGGTCGGTCAGCCCGCATGGCGTTAAAACGCCAAAATTTAAGTTAACTTTTAAAACAGGTGGCAACCCTATTCAAAAACTAAAATAATTATTCCAAATGTTTCATCTAAAGCCGTAATTTTATCAAATTTCAAATCACCCCATACTGCTAAAAGAAAGTTACATATAACTTCAAAATATAAAACCTTATAGCATATCTATGTACATGACCCTTTCCAACAATATTTTCAAACTAAATCTTCTTAAATCTCTTGCGTTTGACATTGTGATACATATTTGAATTAACTTGAATTTGATTTTTTAAACACGTGGCAACTATCTTACAGTTCGGAAATAAATCCCTTTCAAACCTATTTCGATGGTACCCATCTTTTAATAATTCATTTAACTTTTCAAATAATTTTAATTTAAATTTGTCAACAGGTGGCAACCCTATTCAAGCACCCCAAAAAAATGCTTAATGTTGAAACCCAGGTGTCAATCCTCTTGAAAATTCTTTGACTACTACTTTTTTAAACCTCTTGCGTCTGAAACCAATATGATGATACATATGTATTTCAATTACCTAATTCCCTTAATTCAAATTGAATTTAATTTATTAAACAGATGGCAACCCCCCCGCACGTAGTAAAGAAATACAATTTAATTTATTTTTATAACAAGTGGCAACTCTTTTCGAAAAAGGTAAAACCTTAAAGCATATCTACTCCTCATTTTTAAAAATCGAATGCAGATCGGTGCAGATCTGATGGTCTAGACAAAAAATTCCTCAGCGTATTACATATACATTAGAGGGCTGCATGAATTCATTCAAAACGGCTTATGACTTATTCATATACAAAACGAATGAATGATTTTGACTTAAAATTTTTTTGAATTTGAGTGAATACCTGTTCGGATACATGTGTCGACATTTCAATGTTCAAACAAAGTGAAAATAAATTGAATTGAAATAAATGACAATTTTTTGTATAAATGTCCAAAAATATTTTTTCTATGCAAATATATACAAACATATGTATGTATGTATGTATGCATGTATTGATGCGCTCCTATTACAATACGAACAAACTAGTTTGTAAAAAAAAGTTTTACCGAAATGAGTTTGAATGATTTGAATGTTAAAAAAAATTTAAAACAAAATGTACATATCGAGCCCTAACCGCCAAAACAACGTAAGCGACATTTTTTTCAAAATTTTCTTTTTGATGCAGAAATATTCCTAGAGCATCTAGGTACATTTCTGCATCAAAAAGAAAATTTTGAAAAAATGTCGCTTGCGTTATTTTGGTGGTTAGAGCTCGATATTCTTAACTTACAAAATTCCAAACGCTGAGTGTTTTGTATGTGAAGTAAAATGTTCATATCTACTGTACTCTGCTTTGCTAGAAGGTTGAATGAATTCATGCAGCCCTCTAATATATGTATATGTATATATAAATAGATCAATGAGTTCAACACACTTCTTAATCGATTACAAAGCTATAATTTTCTGATAAAGTTGTTTGCCCAAGTCGGCGCGCCTAGCGTTTTACAGCTACTTAAAGCTAAAAACTTTGTACCCAAAGTTTGGCTAACAGTTTGCATACAACTTGGGAGGCTAATCATAGGTTCCCACACTGAAAATAAACGATTTCCCACTGACTTTAATATTTTACTAAGCGCAGCATTTTCATAATTATTTAAGAAAATATTTAACTCTTCTAACAAAAACTTTCTGCCACCTACCCAAAAACTGTGCCTCTTCAAGTACTGCTTTCCAAATCAATTATAAAAGCCACGCAAAGTCCTTTTCACGTGCAAAGTGAAACAATCATCACTGCTGACTGTTTATTAACAAGTTTGTTTCGCAATACCGAAAGAACTTCTAAAAAAAAAAAAAAATTGTTTTGTCTACCAGTAACTCGAGTACTTATATAAAACAAAAATGGAGTTTGACAACATCAACGGCGCTCGACGCATCATAAAGATCTTACAACTTATGGGCCTTTGGCGCTCGAGCGGTCCAAGGCAAAGGTTGTATGCCGCCTATTCTTATCTTTTACATTTCACCTTCACCTTTCCATACACGGTGATGATGTGGCTGGATGTGGCGCAGGCGAATGATTTGCAAAAGTTCACTTACATTATGTATATGTCGTTAACAGAATTGGCATTGCTGGCCAAGGTCATCAATGTTTGGCTCAATGCTAGATTGTTTGTGAACTTTTTTTACACGCTCGCTAATGATGTGCTTTTCCGCTTGCGTACTCACGAGGAACGACAGTTTGGGGCGCGTGTGCATAAATATTATCGTTGGATTGCATTTATGTATTTTTTCATGAGTATCACGCTGGTTACAATCGCTTTCGTCGGTGTACTTTTCGCTGCAGAATACGAATTGCCATTTCCTTATGCGCCACCTTTCGATTGGCAAAATGAACGCGGCTATTGGTATGCGTACTTTTATGAGTTAGTGGCAATGCCGGTGACTTGTTTCTCCAATTGTGCACTGGATATGATTCAATGTTATATGCTGTTGCATTTGTCGTTGTGTTATAAAATGATTGCCGGACGTTTGGAGGAAATGGGCAAACAGAGGCAGCAGTTACGTCGATGGAGCGAGTTCAGTGAGATGCGACTCTTAGAAGAATTTGTGGGCATAGCGAAATTACATGATAAAACAAAGAAGTAAGTGTGTATGCTGGAAATATTGAAAGAGCCTAAGTTGAAAACTAATTGCCGATTTCTTTTTTCATTTTCAAGATTATCAGAAAGTTGTGAGATCTTCGTTTCATTTCCCTTCCTTATACAGATAATGTGCTCCTCATTTGTACTCTGTTTTAGTGCCTACCGACTGCAAAAGGTAAATAAATAATCCTAGTCAATAGTATATAGTTTTGTCCGAAATCAAACGATATTTGAAGGTAGTAACTAAGGCAAGATTATGAGTCTCACTCATGAGACTCCGGAAAGTTCCAGCTGTACCTGGCCCTATTATTTACCCATGTCCAGTTGGACGCAATATGTGAATCTTATCCTCGCGAAAGCTAGACTGCATAATATAAAGTACTGAGGTCATTCCGCCTCATCTTTCTCATATCAGCTTCATCGGGAGGGATCAGGTATGATTTCTAGCCTTGCTTGAATTAGAAAATGACCAATCACAGTCCCAACCTGCTCTTCGCCGAGTGCTCGCTGAGCTATAAGTGAACCACAGGAGGTCAGTTGGAGCACCAACTGTTTCCTATCTAGTCACAAAGTTTCAAGGGTACCTTTCCATGCCAAGTCGTCTGCCATGCACTTTCCCAAAGAAACTCCGACGCAATTGAGTAGAAGGTCAGACATTCTCTGCCGGTGTTCGAGTGCATAACCATTGCACAGTGATTCAAAACTGGAACTTACTTTTCATAATTCACTGGAGCCTTGATTTACCAAACCAATTTGATGATTTTGTAATTAAACCCTGACAGCATGCTTACCTCTTTTTTCGTCAATGAGTCCACTGCTTCTTTAACGGCAGCAAATTCTGTCTGAAAAATAAACAGTGTTGTTGGAGGGCCTCGGCAGAAGACCACTCCACCAATCCTGGCTTCGAGTTTCGATCCATCCGTGAAAAAGTTCACCGCTCCCTTCCTCCTGACACATCATTCCACCCAAATTCGGAAATGTAGGTTGAGAAGGGGCTACTAGGAGCTATTTCAGAGACGCAGTAGTCTCTGTAATCAGAGATTAAATCGAAAATGTGGAGAACTCCGTAGCGTCCAGTCTTCGAAACTGTTAACCAAAGCGTTTCGCTTAGTCTGATAGCAGTTCGTCCTGTGATAAATAGTACTTAGCTAGTATAGCTTAGCTACACAAAGAGTTTCAGCTCGGCGCTTGATAGCAGTTACCCTCTGAAGTTCTATTTTTTCTGTAAAACAAATTAACTTATGAACTAAATGCATACACAATATTTCCTTTAACTTCAGGTCAGCATATTCGAAAATCCCTCACAATTTTGTACACTAATTTTGGCTGTGATTGTAATGACTTTACAAATTTTCATACCATGTTATTGTGGTAATGAAATAATCTTGAATTCTGGTGCATTAAACGATGCCGTCTACCATGCTGAATGGGTACAGTGTATGCCGAAAATGCGTAAATATCTAATAATCTACATGGAAATGCTGCAGAAGCCAATCAAAGTGAAAGCTGGTAATTTTTTCGAAATTGGTTTGCCGGTTTTTGTAAAAGTACTCACCAATTACCGTAAAAAAAAGTACTTTTTTAATTTCATAAAATTTTTTTACAGACTATGAATAATACATATAGCTTAATGGCATTGCTGCTTAATATGAATAAGTAAAAGTGCGCGAAGTGAAGCGTATTCAATCTAAAGGGTGATATCTGATGTGTGCCGCAAGAGACAAAGGAATATCATGCGATCGAGATGGTGACCCTAAGATATGGCAGTAGTATATCGGAATGTAATCTATTTGAGCTTGGTTTAAATAAAATTTGTACTTGGAGAAATATATGTATGTAATTAAAATTGGTATTTTTCTAAGGGTTTACTACAGAATCAAGGTAAAGTTGCAGTTAGACATGAAAAGCTATGCACTTTTCCAGCCCAAATTGTGAAAAGAGTAAAGCGAATGACAAAAATGCAACGCGCGAAGAAATTAGCATCCAGACCACATACCGGTTCTTGTATTGTTCTCATTTTCTCTTCAAGACAGGAAAGCTAAGAGGAATTGTCATGTATGCGGATTTCAGTGAATTTCCTCGTTAACTTACTTTTATTTATGTGACAACTCCTGGCATTGAATAAGTTTTGAGGTCACCAGTAAATATTCTAGAAAATTTAAACTCAAACTGTCTATTGGTGTTAAGCCACAACCCAGCCTCAGGTGACTCAATATGACAGTAGCTCTTCAGCAAAGAAACTGATGGCTTGCTGTGCTGTGACATTTAAAAGACATTAGCGTCTATTTGTCTGCCTTCAGCAATTTCCGCTTAATATCACACTGTCCGACGTCGCGCCCCTTCCTTTTAAGCCTAAAAGTGGGCTTTAATAAAGTCATTAAATGACAATAGGTTTAGCAGTGCAGCCCCATATGTTCTAAGAAAAGCTCCCTCACAGCACACGTAGATCATTCTTTGAAACTTGGTAACCAGATTTCCCACGCTACTGATTGGGACTCTTCTTCACCACACCAGGGCTAACTACTTACTAAAGACCTGGTTATATTGTCAGACCTCTGTATCTTGTTCAACCTAAGGCTTCCATAAAAATTTACCATCTAGAATTACAACCACAGCAGGTGGATAGCAAGCGTCCAAAAATCTTCAACCATAACACTCACTCTATGAAAAGTCAGATTCCTGCGACGAAAGAATGCCCCGCAGGGTGGAGTAAGAGTATGACTAATATGAAGCCAACCTCAGCAAGCTACCACGATTGTACTGTGTGGGCAACACTGGTTCGCTGATAACAACACCAACCGGGACTATTGAGGTGCTTTTAGACCTACCTCCTCTCTACATTGTTATCGCCCCTCGCCGTTATAAAACAAAAGGAAGGTCTTCGTATTAGTCTTGTGGGCCTGTGCCTTCATAACTTTCGGGTCTTCTTAACTTTAACAAAACCAGGAAGAATAGCCACACTAAGTATACCGAAGGCTGCAAGACTGATCATGGCATCGATGCAGGAGTCTACAGCATACAACCGAGAGGGCTCTTTTTCACCAGCATGTTCTGTCTTTCAGGCCGAGGTGCATGCTAAGTTTGAGGCAGCATATACTTATATAGAAAGTGGAGCGACCAACAAACACATCATAAAATCAAAAAAAAAAAAAATTAAATTAAAAAAGGCATAATCAAATTAAAAAAAAAGAAAATTTATAAAATAAATTTCTAAAAATTAATTGAAATTCAAAAAAATATGTTTCTTTTTAAAACCATTTATTCTAAAAATTCATAAAAATTTAATAAAAAAATTAAAATACTTAAGATCGTAAAAATTAAATGAAATTAAAGAAAATATTTTTCTTTTTAAAATAATGTAGTCTAAAAATTAAAAGGAAATTAAGTTTAAAAAGAGATAACAATAGTTCCTTAAATTCAAATAAAATTAAAGGAAATACTTTTCTTTTTAAAACAACAAAATCTAAAAATTAAATTTAAAAAAAGCATTAAAGAAAGAAGAAAACACTTAACTTTCTAAAAATTTAATGATAAATCAAAATCTAATAGTTCAATTTAAAACAATAAAATAACAGAATTAAAAGTAAATTACATTAAAAAAGAAAAAAAAATTTATTTAAAAAAACAAGAAAATAAAATAAGTTTATAAAAATTAAATTATTTAAAATTGTTAAACCAAAAAATTAAAAGAAAATTAAATTAAAAAGGAAACCAAAAAACAAGTTCCTAAAAATTAAGTGAACATAAACTTCCTGGGAGTTTTCTCTCTTTCCTACTATAATGAATAAAAATGCCTTAAGGATTTTTTACTTTAAATGGCGGAGTTGAGCTGTCAAAAAAGTGTCAAACAGCTCTTTTGAAGTTCATATTTCCTCCTAAATTTTCGGGTAAAATGCTAATCCCTGGGAGTTAATTATTGGAGGATCTCTTTCTCGGGAGAAACAAACTCCCGGAGAACAAACTCCCCGGGAGTATTCGGAATTGGGCTGATAATCTAAAAATTGCAAGAAAATGAAATTTAAACAAAAAAATTTATTGAAAGAAAGAAAAATAAATAAAATAAGTTCCTAAAAATGAATCGAAAAAAAATCTTTTTCTCTTTTAAAATAAAATCTAAAAATTAAAAGAAAATTAAATTAAATAAGATTAAATTCAAAGGAAATACAAATTCCACTGCCCGACGACTCAAAATATGATTTCTCGAATAGCACACCGGTGCTTTGCTCACTCGGCCATTGCGACTGTTGGAGCAGCTCGAGCAAAATGATTATAAGTGCTTTCTGTCAAAAAGCTTTCCACCACGGGAGTTGGTAGAGGATCTTTTTTGTGCCAGAATAAACAAACTATCTTGCCTACTGTCTTTCAATTGTCTTACAAAAGATTTTCAACTATCTTAGCTAGAATTACCCAGTAAGTGCTTCATCCCGGAAATATCCAGATAACCGAAACACTCCTCCATCTTACAAAGAGCGGAGTAAGAGTTTTTATCGACTTTTTCACTTGCCACTACAGGCAATTGAAACACTTGTCAAACATAGGAGTTGTTAACTATGACCAATGTCACGAAGAACAGGAAACAGCAGAGCACATTCTGCGCCATTATCAAGGTCTAACTAGGCCCAGACTTCGCTGCCTAGGATTACCATACCTAGAAAAACATGACCTAAATAGCTTTCAGCCGAGGGACCTCACGTGGTGACCTGCTCCCTCCTATAATGCTAATCTTATCTAATCACTTCGCCAGAAATCTGAATAGTGGCTTCTTTAGAAGACGTACTTCCTTCTAGTGAGGAGCACAACACCAGTTTTGGTTGGGATAGCGGACAGCCTATTCTCACATTCAGTGCACTTTGCGCTCACAAAAGCACTTTATTTTTCTGACGGTTTAAGATTCTTATTAAAAAAATAATAATATATATATATGTATGTATATATATATAAATTAAATTTTTTACCAAAACAAATGTGATGAATGCTTATAGCCACTTTCGTTTATTTTATTTGATGCAAAACACTACCACATATTTTAATAGCCAATACATTAAAGCAGAAGATATGCTACCACCGAAGAGCACTTAAATTGAATACAAAGCGCGGAAGCGCTAGACTTTTGCATACATATACATACATATGTATATGTACATATGTACATTAGACCAAGTCAAAAAAAAAATTATAATTTTGGTATATACTACATTTAACCCAAATTCGACAAGGGATTAAAGAAAGATAATTAAGGAATTTAAATAATCTGAGCTTGTATAATACTTAAATGGCATCAATCAATGTGTGTGACCGTTTTCATCGATCCTAGAAAATTATATTGACCTCAAAGGGAAATAACTCATTTCCTTACGCGTAATTCCTATGGGGAAAACTAAAGGCTGGACGCGGGACCCCTTACAATGGTCCTAGAGAGGCGAGATTCATGGAGGATCATAACTATACCAAATGCTAAATTTTGAGTCATATTCCAGTCACATTGCAGGATTTTTTTTTTCCTTTTTTTTGACGTGGTCTAATGTACATACATATGTACCTATATATTTAGATAGGGAACACGAAAAAAAAACTTAAAAAAAAAACATAGCAATCAAGAGAAAAAGAACAAGTAAATCTGGTTAATCAACGAAACGCGCAAAAGAGCAATCGAATGAAGTCATCAACAATCTGGTACTTGTATTCTAACAAAAATGTTTTGCTAAAACAAATAATTACATGTCCAAATTTATTAAAAAAAATAAATAAATATACTTAAGTAGTTGAAAATCTATGTGCATTTTTCTAAAACCAAATTTAAAAAATTTAAATTACTTTCATACGCAGGTCGTATAGCACGATAAGGATTCACTGGTCGTGGTGGAGCTAGCCAACGATTCGCCCAGCCAGGCAGATAATTTGAATACCAGTTGTTCATTTTCGAAAATAAGTTTTTGTTTTGATAGGCACTGAAATAATCGTATTTTCTTTTTTTGCACTAATTTGTAGGCACTTCGGTTAGTTTGATTTTTTCGCGTTAAAAATCGCAATTTTTTTTTACTTGCAAATGTAAACCGGAACCGTAAAATTACTTTTGTACGTGTATACGTTGTACAATTTTACGAGCGTCTCACGTTTTTTAAAGTGACTTGTTAACCCGTTGGCAAGCATTAGTAAACTAAACAATATAGTTTTGCTTAAATTGAATACCGGCGCCGCGGCAATACGCTGCTCATTGATCAACAAAACAGATGCATGTATGTATGTACTTATGTGTGTAGAATGTCGCGTTGGTGTTCGCGATCAGCAAAGAATGAAGTAGACGCTCCCGCATGATTGAAAAATCTGGTGTTTAAAACAATTCTGAGCCTATAGCTTTTGCTTGAGCGGAAAAACGTGGGATAAAGCTTAGTACCTGCTACGCATTTATTTTGAAAACATGTTTTAGAGTTGCTTTCATACATAAAAATGTCTATATAATGTACGTATGTTTTGTCGCACAGAATCCCATAAAAATCTGTATTAAATAATGACGTCATTGATCCCGTACTCTTTAACTGATACGGACATATGTATGTCTCTGCTCGTACATATGCACATTAGACTGCATTACCAAAAAAAATTTTCGGCTGTTCCGCCGGTATTACAAAATTTACTATATCTGAAGACTTCATTCAAAATATTTCGGAAAAATATTAAGATTTACGTGAGCTGGACCAATTTGAAAATACCTCCAAAAATGGAGTTTTTTATGAATAAAAATAGTTAATATGCAAACAAAAAAGGTGAGAACATACCGTTCCAATGATACCTCATAAGTCTAAATTGGTCAAGTTTTGGCTAAGTTATTCTTAAACTAAGCGATAAAGTTCAAAAACAGCATCAAAAATCTTATTATTATGATTCCTTGGGAACAGTTTTCAAATATTTGTATGCAAATTTTTTAAGCTTAAACTGTCATATGAGGTGATTTTTTTTTTTTCTAAAAATACTTAACAAAAATTTTTTTTTCATAAAACACTAAATTTTTCGAAATATTTTGGTGAAAATTTTAAAATATAATAGATTTTATAATTACAATGTAAAAACACTTCCGATTTTTTTTTTTTTGTATGGTGGTACAGTCTAATGTACATACATATGTATGTACCCTGCAGGGAAAACCCGAACTAGTGAATCAAATTTGTACTTCAGTACTAGTTCTTTATCATCCAAAACAAACCGGTCCGACAGTAACTAAGGTGGTGCTTTTAAAGAGCTGTTTTATTTTACCTCTTAAAACTACAAATCGCTAGCTAAGAGTGAAAAGTTGCTACGTGCAATTTTTCTAAAAAATTACATTTTGATGCAAGAAGCGAGAACAATTAAAAATGCATCATTTTCTAAATGATCGAACTACTTACTAACATATTTTATTTCTAACCGTTTCCATTAATTCATGCTAATTTTTTTAATTTGCTTAGTCCAAAATTGTCACAGAAAATGTGTTAGGTCCCAAAGAATACAACAACTTTTCTTTAGAAATCAATAACTAAGGTGACGAATTTAGAACAGGTTCGGAACTATAGAAAAGGATATACGGGACACCAAGCAATCTCTGTTTACTTTAAATAGATTTTTGTTTTTCCGGTTTTTCGTTGGAATGCGCTTTCATTCTGGACTTCACCGATGATTTTTCATAGTTTGGAAAAAATTTGTATTATCATTTAAACATATTGCGTGTGGCGGCCTTCGACACAGGGACCTTCTGGAATCTAACAATTAATAGCAAGCATCTCTGCACACTCAAGAACTGGTTCGGAACTATAAAAAAAGAGGAGAAAAGCGAACCAGATCTAGACTGCAGAATTTAGAACTGGTGCGGAACTAAAGAAAAGGGGGAGAACTTCCGACATCGTCGTATTAAGTTTACCATTTTTTTATCGCGAACTAGTATTAGTTCTAAATGTACAAGAAACGAATCAATTCCGAATGAAAGATTTTCCCTACAGGCTATGTATGCAATACTTGTGGTACTTGGTAATATGCATGCTAATTATATAGGTTTATGATCGTCGCCTCGCGGATATAGGTTAAAGAAGTTGGCTTGCAGCGGAATGAGAGTAAAAGTGATTTGCATTCATATTTATATTTGTTATTATATTAATTTATTCTGCCAATGTATCACTTAAGTATGCTAAGCACAATTTTTGCGCGTACATATGTATGTATGTATGTAGGTATATGAGAACTTTGTATTATTTCGAACGCAGTGGGCTTTTTTGGCGCCAAAGCGCTTATGATTTGTCACTTATTATTGACTACAATATTATGTATGTACATGTGTACATTGTACATTAGGGTGGCCCAAAAATGCATGGGAAAGTAAAGTCGGCATTTTTTAACCTCTCACTCCCTAGGATTGCTCTATACCGAAAAAATATACCCATATTTTTTTATTTTGAAATCAAAAAATATTTAGAGGTCGCTCAAAGCGCTCAAAGTTGCCATATATTGGAAAAAATAACTTTTCCTAGAAATGGTGTAGAATTCTTGAAAATCAATATTTATCGATCAGAAAACTCTGTTTCTCTTCAGAAGATTCCCAGTAATAATACCCAATTGTTTATTTAACCATTTTTTCATAGCAACTATATTTCATATCTTGACGGGGATAAATAAATTATCTTTAGTATTAAAAAATGGTTAAATAAACAATTGGGTGTTGTTATTGGAAGTCTCCTGAAGAGAACAAGAGTTTTCCGATCGAAAATATTGATTTTCAAGAAGTCTATACCATTTCTACGAAAAGTTGCTTTTTTCCCACATAAAATAAATGGAAAACTTTGACCACTTTGAGCGACGTTTTTTGATTTCAAAATAAAAAGAAAAATTGGTGTATAATTATTTTCGATATAGAACAATCCTAGGGGGTGAGAGCATTAAAATTCTGACTTTACATTTTTTGGACTACCCTATTGTACATACATATGTAATTTTCTTATTTACAATCATTTTATGATACCTTAAGTAGTGGTATTGAGACATCTGTCGCAATTATTTATTAGACTATGAGTAAGATGCGGATTTGTAAAGTTCTGGGAATTACATAATTTTAGTTATTTTCTTTTGATTTATTGAAACTTACTTTTTTTAGGGCGGCCGTAAACGTTCTGCAGGAGAAACTGAAGAGTATGGGGATGGCGTTGTAGTTATAAAATTGTGTAAAATATAAAATTGTTTCTCATTTGTGATAAAAAAAAAAACAAACAAAATTTCGAAAATATTTAACAATTTTCTTAAATAGGGCTAACACTGAGTTTTCACTAGGCATTAAATGAAAAAGTTTTAATCACTACATATTTTAGGCATTAAACGTTACCACATGGCATTTTTAAAATGGCATATATTTTTTATCATTTCGTTGCTTGGTTGATATTCGGTTAAAGAATTTATGAAGTTTCTGTTGAATGAGCATATCATTATCTTGGTATAGAAAAACCTTATCTCAAAATTGTTTTTTTTTCAAATAAATCTAAATATTGAAACCGTTATGAACAATGTATGTTTGAATGTTTTAAAAATTACTTATGTACAATAAAAGCTTGGTAAGATCGCTGTGTTTTGTTTCTTTAGAAAAATTAAGCAAAGTACGTTATTTGACAAGGCATATGAATCGATCTTGGGAGATCGATTTATTTTTTTGACGATTCCTTCCTGCATCGATTATTTTTATTTCGATTCGAATCGATTCAAAAATCGCCTTCGATAGTAAGCCATTAAAATATGAGAAACTGCCCTTAAAATCATTCGATACACTCTATATATGTAAATAAAGCAATTAAAACTTATTAGCATAATCTTTGGCTTAAACAATTTATTTTTGTTACATTAAATAAACTCACTCACAGTACCATATTTGTAAATGACTATGATTTTCAGCAAACGCGCCCAGAGTTTGCAAAGCAATTCAAATATTTATGTCAAGTCAATAACAATGAAATAGATTTCCTTTCTAAGAATCGAAATTGCATTGAGATAAACCAAAGTCTGCAATTTGTTATAGTTACATAAGCGCAAATGTACATATGTATGTATTTGTGTCCTATATATACATATGCAGGAAAGTATGTTTCGTTGCAAAATTGTACGGAAACTAATGAAATGTAAGCAGTTTAACTGAGTCAAATGCAAATGTATTTCTAAGTACATACCTGTACATAATAAAGTAGCGAATATTTTTTTAATATTTTATGCATTGGTAGGCGGCAAATGGGAGCTGTTACTTAGTTGCATAGTTCTGAATTATTTTAATAGATCGGGCAGCGGTTTGTATATCATTCATATGTGCGAGTACATAAATATTTTGCCACATAAGTACTCGTACATACATACATATGTACATATGTAGTATTTTCTTAATTTTTGAACATATGTATGTAAGTGACGAATTTTCTAGCACCTAATTCATTATGGCCGGCATCTCGAAAACAGCTGTTGGAGTAATTTGAGAAATTAGTAATGCGTTTTGCATTTTCGTTTATTTCTTCATCGGCGAATTTTTTGATGAGTAAACAATTAATAACATATGCGAAATGCATATTTTTGATGAAAAACATGTCGCTAGTTATACACGATTCGCCGCGGGATATCCCACAGTCCAATACTCGTAGTGTACTAGTATGTCATGTCCATATATGTATGAGTGTCAACGCCCAGATCCGCCTAAAATTTACTTGTTGCGAGCAATGACAAATTGATCGTGCCAAAACTTTGAGACTGAGTCAATGGTCAAATGGTGTAAAAATCACACATTTTATACATGCATACATACATAATATATAATATGTATTACATATGCACATACCTACATATATGTGAGTAGGTATAAATGTATTCAGAAATATCTTCGATGTAAAAAGTGTTTGTTAATTTTTTTGTTTGCAATACGCTGAATAGTAAGTGCAATTGATACACTTTTTTACGTTGATATTTTTGTGGGGGAGTTAAAGCCGAGCTTGTTCGAATTATGCCACTTACATATTTGGTTAAGTATGCAAATTGCGCTTTGATTTTTTCATATTTACTTAAGTGTTCATAGCTAGGAATGCTGTTAAAAACAAAAGGGTATCTCTGGATGTTTATTCGTATTTATGTGTGTATGTACATTGTACATTATTTATTTGCATATGTGCATAACCTGCAGTGAAAAGCTGAAATAGTATGCACAAATTCCAGTTTATGAATTATTATTTAAGGAT